AAAAAGAGCTTGTGTTTCCTGGGACCCGAGTACAGCTGGGAGGAGAACGTGTTTCTGACACCCAAAGACAGGGGCGAAAGGCCAGGGACAGTGTGTTTCTGAGAACCAGTGGGCAGCGAGCAGGGCAAAAAGAGCTTGTGTTTCCTGGCACCTGAGTACAGCTGGGAGGAGAACGTGTTTCTGACACCCAAAGACTGTGGGAAAGGCCAGGGACAGTGTGTTTCTGAGACCAGAAAAGGACAGTGAGACCAACAAAGGACAGTGTGTTTCTGAGCCCAGAGGTCAGCGAGCAGGGCAAAAAGAGCTTATGTTTCCAGGGACACGAGTACATCTGGGAGGAGAACGTGTTTCTGACACCCAAAGACAGCGGCGATGGCGAAGGACAGTGTGTTTCTGAGACCAGAGTGCAGCGAGCAGGGCAAAAAGAGTTTGTGTTTCCCGGGAGCCGAGTACAGCTGGGAGGGGAACGTGTTTCTGACACCCAAAGACAGGGGGAAAGGCCAGGGACAGTGTGTTTCTGAGCCCAGAGGTCAGCGAGCAGGGCAAAAAGAGCTTGTGTTTCCTGGCATCCGAGTACAGCTGGGAGGAGAACGTGTTTCTGACACCCAAAGACTGTGGGAAAGGCCAGGGACAGTGTGTTTCTGAGACCAGAAAAGGACAGTGAGACCAACAAAGGACAGTGTGTTTCTGAGCCCAGAGGTCAGCGAGCAGGGCAAAAAGAGCTTATGTTTCCAGGGACACGAGTACATCTGGGAGGAGAACGTGTTTCTGACACCCAAAGACAGCGGCGATGGCGAAGGACAGTGTGTTTCTGAGAACAGAGGGCAACGAGCAGGGCTAAAAAGAGCTTGTGTTTCCTGGCACCTGAGTACAGCTGGGAGGAGAACGTGTTTCTGACACCCGAAGACAGGGGGAAAGGCCAGGGACAGTGTGTTTCTGAGCCCAGTGGGCAGCGAGCAGGGCAAAAAGAGCTTGTGTTTCCCGGCACCCGAGTACAGCTGGGAGGAGAACGTGTTTCTGACACCCAAAGACTGTGGGAAAGGCCAGGGACAGTGTGTTTCTGAGACCAGAAAAGGACAGTGAGACCAACAAAGGACAGTGTGTTTCTGAGCCCAGAGGTCAGCGAGCAGGGCAAAAAGAGCTTATGTTTCCAGGGACACGAGTACATCTGGGAGGAGAACGTGTTTCTGACACCCAAAGACAGCGGCGATGGCGAAGGACAGTGTGTTTCTGAGACCAGAGTGCAGCGAGCAGGGCAAAAAGAGCTTGTGTTTCCCGGAGCCGAGTACAGCTGGGAGGAGAACGTGTTTCTGACACCAGAAGACAGGGGAAAGGCCGAGGACAGTGTGTTTCTGAGCCCAGAGGTCAGCGAGCAGGGCAAAAAGAGCTTGTGTTTCCTGGCATCCGAGTACAGCTGGGAGGAGAACGTGTTTCTGACACCCAAAGACTGTGGGAAAGGCCAGGGACAGTGTGTTTCTGAGACCAGAAAAGGACAGTGAGACCAACAAAGGACAGTGTGTTTCTGAGCCCAGAGGTCAGCGAGCAGGGCAAAAAGAGCTTATGTTTCCAGGGACACGAGTACATCTGGGAGGAGAACGTGTTTCTGACACCCAAAGACAGCGGCGATGGCGAAGGACAGTGTGTTTCTGAGAACAGAGGGCAACGAGCAGGGCTAAAAAGAGCTTGGTTTCCTGGCACCTGAGTACAGCTGGGAGGAGAACGTGTTTCTGACACCCGAAGACAGGGGGAAAGGCCAGGGACAGTGTGTTTCTGAGACCAGTGGGCAGCGAGCAGGGCAAAAAGAGCTTGTGTTTCCCGGCACCCGAGTACAGCTGGGAGGAGAACGTGTTTCTGACACCCAAAGACTGTGGGAAAGGCCAGGGACAGTGTGTTTCTGAGACCAGAAAAGGACAGTGAGACCAACAAAGGACAGTGTGTTTCTGAGCCCAGAGGTCAGCGAGCAGGGCAAAAAGAGCTTATGTTTCCAGGGACACGAGTACATCTGGGAGGAGAACGTGTTTCTGACACCCAAAGACAGCGGCGATGGCGAAGGACAGTGTGTTTCTGAGACCAGAGTGCAGCGAGCAGGGCAAAAAGAGCTTGTGTTTCCCGGGAGCCGAGTACAGCTGGGAGGAGAACGTGTTTCTGACACCAGAAGACAGGGGGAAAGGCCGAGGGACAGTGTGTTTCTGAGCCCAGAGGTCAGCGAGCAGGGCAAAAAAGAGCTTGTGTTTCCTGGCATCCGAGTACAGCTGGGAGGAGAACGTGTTTCTGACACCCAAAGACTGTGGGAAAGGCCAGGGACAGTGTGTTTCTGAGACCAGAAAAGGACAGTGAGACCAACAAAGGACAGTGTGTTTCTGAGCCCAGAGGTCAGCGAGCAGGGCAAAAAGAGCTTATGTTTCCAGGGACACGAGTACATCTGGGAGGAGAACGTGTTTCTGACACCCAAAGACAGCGGCGATGGCGAAGGACAGTGTGTTTCTGAGAACAGAGGGCAACGAGCAGGGCTAAAAGAGCTTGTGTTTCCTGGCACCTGAGTACAGCTGGGAGGAGAACGTGTTTCTGACACCCGAAGACAGGGGGAAAGGCCAGGGACAGTGTGTTTCTGAGCCCAGTGGGCAGCGAGCAGGGCAAAAAAGAGCTTGTGTTTCCCGGCACCCGAGTACAGCTGGGAGGAGAACGTGTTTCTGACACCCAAAGACTGTGGGAAAGGCCAGGGACAGTGTGTTTCTGAGACCAGAAAAGGACAGTGAGACCAACAAAGGACAGTGTGTTTCTGAGCCCAGAGGTCAGCGAGCAGGGCAAAAAGAGCTTATGTTTCCAGGGACACGAGTACATCTGGGAGGAGAACGTGTTTCTGACACCCAAAGACAGCGGCGATGGCGAAGGACAGTGTGTTTCTGAGACCAGAGTGCAGCGAGCAGGGCAAAAAGAGTTTGTGTTTCCAGCTGGGAGCCGAGGCCACAGCTGGGAGGGGGGCAACGTGTTTCTGACACCCAAAGACAGGGGGAAAGGCCAGGGACAGTGTGTTTCTGAGCCCAGAGGTCAGCGAGCAGGGCGAAAAAAAGAGCTTGTGTTTCCAGGGACACGAGTACATCTGGGAGGAGAACGTGTTTCTGACACCCAAAGACAGCGGCGATGGCGAAGGACAGTGTGTTTCTGAGAACAGAGGGCAACGAGCAGGGCTAAAAAAAGAGCTTGTGTTTCCTGGCACCTGAGTACAGCTGGGAGGAGAACGTGTTTCTGACACCCAAGACAGGGGGAAAGGCCAGGGACAGTGTGTTTCTGAGACCAGTGGGCAGCGAGCAGGGCAAAAAGAGCTTGTGTTTCCCAGCACCCGAGTACAGCTGGGAGGAGAACGTGTTTCTGACACCCAAAGACTGTGGGAAAGGCCAGGGACAGTGTGTTTCTGAGACCAGAAAAGGACAGTGAGACCAACAAAGGACAGTGTGTTTCTGAGCCCAGAGGTCAGCGAGCAGGGCAAAAAAGAGCTTATGTTTCCAGGGACACGAGTACATCTGGGAGGAGAACGTGTTTCTGACACCCAAAGACAGCGGCGATGGCGAAGGACAGTGTGTTTCTGAGACCAGAGTGCAGCGAGCAGGGCAAAAAGAGCTTGTGTTTCCCGGGAGCCGAGTACAGCTGGGAGGGGAACGTGTTTCTGACACCCAAAGACAGGGGAAAGGCCAGGGACAGTGTGTTTCTGAGACCAGTGGGCAGCGAGCAGGGCAAAAAAGAGCTTGTGTTTCCCGGCACCCGAGTACAGCTGGGAGGAGAACGTGTTTCTGACACCCGAAAACAGCGGCGATGGCGAAGGACAGTGTGTTCCTGAGAACAGAAAAGGACAGTGAGACCAGCAAAGGACAGTGTGGTTCTGAGACCAGAGGGCAGCGAGCAGGGCAAGAGAGCTTGTACGTATGCAGAGTATGGAACATTGTGCAAATTGTAAGAACTCACAATACACAGTCATCTTTACATTTCCTTCGTCTGTATTACACTGCTTCCCAGGGTTGTGTGCTGTGCCAATTTGGGTGTGGATTTTAAAACGCCCCCCTAAAATGAACCTCCCGTACTGTGCCCATGCATATTGCTGTATAACCCTCGTGTTGTCCTCGCATCGCCTACACACCCCGAGTCGAGCGGGTCAGAGTGACACTCGATCTCTTTTCACAGCCCTCAGAGTGTTGCAAAAAGGAGGAGGCCGAAATACAACAACGTGCACGTGTTTCACTGTAATCGGTTTATTATTATTATCGCTACTAGTAATTATCTGGGAGGGTGAAAAAAAACACAGCCCAGGGTGAGGCTCGAACTCGCCACCTCGGCATCTAACCCCGCCGTTGTCCTCGCGTCGCGTACACAGCCCGAGTCGAGCGGGTCAGAGTGACCCTCGATCTCTTTTCACAGCCCTCAGAGTATTGCAAAAAGAAGGAGGCCGAAATACAACAACGTGCGCGTGTTTCACTGTTATCGGTTTATTATTATCATCGCTGTTAATAATTATCTGGTAGGGCAAAAAAAAACACCGCCCCGGGCGAGGCTCGAACTCGCCACCTCGGCATCTAACCCAGCCGTTGACCCGAGGACGGCGGGAGTGAGGGGAATCCTACGCTCGGGTCGCCGGGACCCGAGGGTAGTGTGAGGGATAACGGTGGCACGGCAACGATATCATCCTCTGGTGACAGAAATGTGTAGTGTGTGCATGAAAAATAAATGCAAAATATTTGGACAATGGACCTTTCTGCTTCCCAGGGTTGTGTGCTGGTAGGGCAAAAAACCGCCCGGGCGAGGCCGCCCACCTCGGGTTGACGAGGCTCGCACGGGTCGCCACCCGAGGGTAGTGTGAGGGTTAAAATGCACCAAACTACGCAGAGGCAACAAGGGTCTTCAACTGCCAGCCACCTAAAACAATTCTTGTCAGTGACTGAACCTAGTTGATATATGGACTTTGTAAAATTGCCTTCCCTTGGGCATTACCGACCCCCCGGTGCTGACTTGCCGTGATCGTATAGTGGTTAGTACTCTGCCCGCAGCAACCCCGGTTCGAATCCGGGTCACCATGATTTTGCCCAAAAAAACATGAAAAATTCATGTTACTACTTGATACTTATCTCATTATATGTACTTTGTGTGAAACGGGTCACGTTGGAGATCTTATGCTTTTCACGGAAGAGATGTACTCGCAAAATTGCAGACGATAAAGATTTCCATGACGAGTGCATTTCGTTTATTTTGACACCGTGTTGCCTGTATCTCTGGACATCGGTCATTGTTGGTCCCATATGGTCTAGCGGTTAGGATTCCTGGTTTTCACCCAGGCGGCCCGAGTTCGTCTCCCGGTATGGGAACTCGCATTTTTGAAGGCGCATTTAACAAATGCCAACGTCTCATATTGATCAAGATCTGGTACCTGCATTATATCATTATGCAAACATATATATTTTTTTACATTTTAAGTTTGAAAGTGCTTCAGTCTTAGTTTGAAAGTTGTCGAATACACTGTAGCGTGGCAATGTATGCTGTAGCAGATCTCGTTCAGAAGCAGACACTACTGCTCGCAGACCTATGGTAACTTTTGTGTGATTTTGTAGGAGTAGAGTGTCCTACAATATGGTCTCATTTTAAAATGCACCAAACTACGCAGAGTTTAAAACAGTTCAAAACTACGCACCTAAAACAATTCTTGTCAGTGACTGAACCTAGTTGATATATGAATTTAGGAGTATTTTGAGTTCTTTGTGAAAATTGGTGGAATGAAGCCTTCCCTTGGAGCATTACCGACCCCCGGTGCGGACTTGCCGTGATCGTATAGTGGTTAGTACTCTGCGTTGGCCGCAGAAACCCTGTTCGAATCCGGGACACGGCATGATTTTGCCCAAAAACATGAAAAATTCATGTTACTACTTGATACTTATCTCATTATATGTACTTTGCTCGTTGCAAGCACGTTACCACCATAGCAAACGCTTTCCTCCGGTCACGTTGGAGACATACGAACAAGTATTTAATCGAAAATATCTGAAGCAGACCATTGCGCATTCATGATCGAATTCACCGTGCTGGAGTCAGCTATCAGACGGGCCAGTGGCGCAATGGATAACGCGTCTGACTACGGATCAGAAGATTCTAGGTTCGACTCCTTGCTGGCTCGTGGAATACTTTAGCTCACCTCACGCATGCTGGTCGAACGTGGCACGCTGTGCCTATTTTAAATGGTTTGCCATCTAAAACGGCCTTGCGTAAAACTCACTGACCGACAACGTAACTCGTTCAACTTCTTATGCTTTTCACGGAAGAGATGTACTCGCAAAATTGCAGACGATAAAGATTTCCATGACGAGTACATTTCGTTTATTTTGACACCGTGTTGCCTGTATCTCTGGACATCGATCATTGTTGGTCCCATGTGGTCTAGCGGTTAGGATTCCTGGTTTACCCAGGCGGCCCGGGTTCGACTCCCGGTATGGGAACTCGCATTTTTGAAGGCGCATTTAAAAATGCCAACGTCTCATATTGATCAAGATCTGGTACCTGCATTATATCATTATGCAAACATATATATTTTTTTACATTTTAAGTTTGAAAGTGCTTCAGTCTTAGTTTGAAAGTTGTCGAATACACTGTAGCGTGGCAATGTATGCTGTAGCAGATCTCGTTCAGAAGCAGACACTACTGCTCGCAGACCTATGGTAACTTTTGTGTGATTTTGTAGGAGTAGAGTGTCCTACAATATGGTCTCATTTTAAAATGCACCAAACTACGCAGAGGCAACAAGGGTCAATTCAGGTATTGGTATTTTGTGGTAACTGCCGATGTAGCAAGCACCTAAAACAATTCTTGTCAGTGACTGAACCTAGTTGATATATGAATTTAGGAGTATTTTGAGTTCTTTGTAAAAATTGGTGGAATGAAGCCTTCCCTTGGAGCATTACCGACCCCCCGGTGCTGACTTGCCGTGATCGTATAGTGGTTAGTACTCTGCGTTGTGGCCGCAGCAACCCCGGTTCGAATCCGGGTCACGGCATGATTTTGCCCAAAAAAACATGAAAAATTCATGCTACTACTTGATACTTATCTCATTATATATACTTTGCTCGTTGCAAGCACGTTACCACCATAGCAAACGCTTTCCTCCAGTCACGTTGGAGACATA